TTCTTTACTTGATCGATAAAGTGTGGGCTAATGACGGTGCAACTTATTTCCTTATAGCCAAAATTTTTTATAAAGATTATAAAGTCCAAGCTAATTCCGGTATCTTCACCACCGTTGATGACAAGAAAAAAAAATATAAATATTATTAATTTGATACATAGTTCACACCCGTTTAATTAAAATAATGTATATATTCTTTATTTCTTATTTTGTCTTTTTTATATACTCGATTTTATTAAATAAATAAATATTTTTTTCGGCTTATTAATATAACAAACATCCTGTAAACAAGCATGCTATTTGCAAATTGACTGAATTCATGACTGAATAAAATTTTAATATATCGATATAACATCGCAATCGAATTTATTTATGACGAAATACTCCACAAAATAAAAGTTTACAAAGTAAAAGTAACGAATATGATTTAAATCTAATTCTGCAACAATTAAATTGTTAATAATAACAATTATGATCATTAGTTTCGAATTAACGACTAGCTGAGTCGAACCCAAAAGTTCTACGGCTATAAACACTAGAATTTTTCATTCTAAGAAATAAAAAAAAACTCGGCTCGATCGCTTATTTCTTTAATAAATATCGAAATATCGTTATGCAAAATAAATATATTAATTATCAAACAAGATATTCAAAAAATATAAAAATGAGAAGTTAACGTTAAAAAAATAAGATAACCATAAAAATACATTGTAACGTATAATCGCAAAAATAATATTTGAAATTATTTCATAAATAGCAAAATAAAAATATATATAATAAATAAATAAAATTATCTCTCTTTAAATACTATACCAAATAAATATATAAAAGGAAATATCTTAACGACTCAAATTTATTCCGAGTTATTATCTCGCATATAATTTTCACTAACATTTTGAGATGAAACTTTCTGATTATTATTATCCTGTTGAGAAATAGAAAACTGCGAAATATCAACTAAGCTTGTATTAGAATTACTACCACCCGTACCATTATCAACATCCCTATCTTGTTCAATATTCATGTTTAATTGCCCGTAAATATCCATTGGCGCCAAAAAAATAACCAGAAATTGTCTCAAGTAAATTTCAAGATTTTCTTTATGTCTATTAGAAAATTCAACATGTTGCTGTTCGTTTGGTTTAATTTCATTGCTATAAATATAGATCATTTCACATACCACTTGATAGATTCTTTTGTCGTTAGGTTGTTGAAAGTAGAATAAAAATGAATTAGATGAATTAGATGAATACAAATAATTATTTATTAATTGAGAAATAGTTTCTTCAAAGGTTGTCTCTTCACAGATGATATGATAAATATGATCATCATTGCAAGGCCTATAAAAGAATGAATGTCTAGCCATATTAACGTTCTCTTGAATATAATTGGTTGAATAACTAGATACCTGAAATTTTGGAACAGTATGACTTGAAGACATCGGTTGCATATTACTATTTTGTTGATGCTCGCTATTAATAACTACATGAGGTTCAGTTAGCACGTGCGAAACCATCTCATTATGAATTGTATTTTGTATAGCATTAACACTTTGTGAGATAGGATCGTTATCGACATGAGGGTTTGGTGAATTACTCGTAAAGTTAGGTTCGCTATCACTTTGCATTACAATTGATTTAGATCCAACTTTTAAAATATTAATGCGTATGTAAAACGGAATGAATTTATTGTTAAAAGAACATTTATATCATATATAAAGTTCTCGATAATTAATGTGTGAAAAATTTTCTATTACGACACGATGGTTTGAAATTAATTAATTAATTTGTATTTGAAGAAATAATTAGGGCGATCGTGTTATTTGTTTTGCTTATAGTGAGAAATTATAGGTTTTTTAAAAATGGAGAATCTTTTTTCAAAGTTTCAGGTATGAGAATATTTTTTTAAAATAAAAAAAACCGGAAGTTATATATGTGAGGGAAAAAAAAAAAATACTACTTTATTTATCAAAAAATAAAAGAGCAATTTTAGTTTCAAATTTAGTATTTAAAAATTTCATTAAAGCTTAGCTGCTCGTCAGTGCAGATTTATCCATATCAAAAGAGATATAGGTGTAATTGAAGTACAAAAAATCCAAATTTAGAGAATAGGCGTAATTGAAGGTTTAGGTTGTGTTCATATTTATATTCACATCATTTTAATCTAATATTACTTTACTAATAATTCTTTATAGTTTAGTTTTTGCCTGAGTCCTTAAAAGCAAGGAGTTGGAACTAACTTTAAATTACTATAAAAAAACTTTGACATTGTAATATTATTTCGTGATACCAATAAAATGTGACGCAAAAGTAATTTCATTACCCGGTGAAAATTTTTTTAACACGTCTATCATATTCTTTATCTAGCATTGTCCAACCGTAATATAAATTATTGCGCTAAAACCAGTATCATTACAGAAGAATAAATAAACTTTAAAAAAATTATCTTAATATAATTGGTAAAATTTTGTAATTCTGTTGCAAACTTTGTAATAATATTTTAAGCTAAATACACAGTGAAATTCGATAAACCGGATCTTCGATAACCGATAGATCCGGTTTATCGAATTTCACTGTGTATATGTCAAAAAAGTATTTAACACATTTAATTACTACTTTACTACTACTATATTTGTGAATTCTTAGTTTACCCTAACTCGTGCGCGGATATGGGATTTCAATATTAAGATAATTATTTTCTATGATCACGTGAAAGTAAATCGAAATTGAAATCAATAATGTGTATAAAAAGGTCGCATTCAGATTTATACTTTTTATCTGATTGCTTCTCAGGATTCAGATTTCACATGATTTCACAGTAAGATTTTATTACAAAAGTCAGTTTTAAATTTTTTTGAGATATAGGAGTAATTTTTTTTTGTATATTTCCTTAGTAAGTCTACCATTTTTGTATAACTTATTCTATATATGAAATTGTTTAATTTCTAGCGAATAAGCATTTATGTCTTTATTACGAGTATAAAATTAGAAATATTTTTTTAATTTTAAATTATTATGAGGTTATTTTTTCATCTTTAATTAATTGATAATTCGAAAACTTTGTTCGAAATATTTTATATCATTTATTTATTAGTAATTTATTATTTTAACGAAAGCATATCGTAAAATTATTTACTCATTGAATTATTGAATTGTAAATATATCTACCACTAAAAATAATACTAATAAGGAAAATTGTTTGATCATAAGTTTCGTTTAATTTTATGTTTTTAAGTTCTTTTTTATCACTTAATTTTAGGTTTCTAATGAAATCAATGGCTTTATTTCTTCCGAAGGTTATAAATAATTTTTAATTTTACTTTAGAAGAGAGAGCTTAATAACTTTATTTGTGAGATATATTACATTTTTAATTAAATAAATACATTACTAAATTGTGAGACATCGAATCTTCTGATCGTGCAGAAATTTTGTGATAGGAAAAATTCTACAAACAGCATTATTTTCCAAAGTTATTTATTTCACTTTATATTATAATTGCGAAACCATATGTTTCGAATTTGAGGATTTTAAATAATACTTTTGAAATTTCAAAGATTTCGTCCATTATATTTCTCAAATATAATTGCTCTCAACATAAAAAGAGAATAGATTCAGAAATAAATTTTCTCACATTACCTCTTAAAGAGCTCCATTTTACGGTACATATTGATATAATGTTCACAATTGAATGTTTGCATAAACAAAAATGAATTTTGTTTTGGACCGTAACTTTTTTATTTGAAAAGAGAAGACCTTATCACTTACTCTTTGAAAAAAAAAAAAATAAATAAATAAATTGATTTTCTTGAAATCAGTATATCTAACAGTGCATAAAATTCTTAACCATACCATGAAAATATTTTAAAAAGCAAATATACCTATTGCAACAAATAAAGCTTTACTTAATCTACCAATCAACAATTATGACCTTGATAATCAATGTGGTTACGGTATTTATGATTATCAATCTTTGAATATTGCCTATTTGAATAGGAGTATTATTTCCGTTACCCGATCACAATCAGCAATCGTTGTTGTTGGTCAAGATTTATGAAACCCCCCCCCCCGTACACAAATATGTGTAAGTTTGGCGAAAAAATAAAAACATAAATGTGCAACTAACAAATGAAAGAAAATAGGAAATTCCTTAGAAAAGCCGATCTTCCTTTTATCTATCTAGTTCAGGTTACACGGTAACATTTCATTTACAGTGAAAGAATGGCGTTTTTTTGACGGTACTGTATAAATTCTATTAATCATATCAGATATGCTTCTTTATTAAAAGATTTAAAAAGATTACGAGATTTTTTTATATTGTCTTTTTGTACTACACACGGCTGGTTTCTACGGAGTTTCGATTATTTATTTTTACAATTTGTTTATGCAACCATAAAATCTATGAGATCATTATTTGCACGATCCTTTTTAAAAACAAATGCAATAATGACCTTTTCTTAATTTAATAAATGGATAACAATAAAAAAAAAATTATTATTATCATTTAAAATAATTTCTTCGATATTCGTGACTCTAGATTTTATAATAACTTTTGTTTCATCGAATTAAAGGTTTAAAATCGATATATTAATCAAATTTTCACAGGTTATGAAATTCTTGGCGCAGTAATATAATCTCGAAGAAAAAAGTATTTACCAAAAATAAACGTAAATTAATTTCAAAAATAGCAATACAAATGTACTTTTAATTTGCACTATCGAACTTCTTGAATTTATTATACTAATAAACTCATTATATATACCATAGAATAGCTTGGAATGTGGCCGTAATTCATTATCTTGTAACAAACCCAGAACTTAAACCAGTACTATAGTTGCGGGGCAAAACCCTAAACCCATTTTGGTAAAAGTCGAAACTTTTCAGAAATTGTTTCGACAGTTTCGATGGGTTTCGACGGGTTTCGATGGGTTTCGATGGGTCTCGAAAGTTTCGACGGTTTCGACGGTTTCGATAACAACTTTCTGAATTCTTAAAAAGGACGTGAATATATACTATCTCACATAGACTAATGCATAGATCATTATATTGGATGATTGCTCCGACAATAAAATTAAGACCTTATCACATTTTAATCTATCAAAAATGATAGTGTTGAGTTAAAAAATTCCAAATAATGAAATTTTTTTTAATGCTTAACATGGGTGGGGGGGGTTAGCCGTAATATAAAAAAAATATGGGTACCATTTTTATTTTTTTTTTAAAAAAAATAAATAAAATTAAAATATCCCTTATAAACAATATTTCTAATACAAATATTCCTTAAATTCTCACAAATGTACTAAAAATGAGAAAGCGAGCATGAATGATGGAAATGAATATGATTGTTCATCAAGAGGAATATCGTTTAATAGAAGCTATGTTTCGTAGGCATACTTACGAAAAATTTTTATACGTATAGTTATGACTCCGTCATTTTGTTAACCAAATTTTGATATGGTTTAAAAACTTTATATTGATGATATTGAGAGAATTCGAAGAATTCAGAGTTGAAAATTTTGTTATATATTTCATGGTAACACCAAAATCGATTCTTCATCTTCCTATTGGTTGGATTCCGTCAAAAAATTTGATGAATGATTTGACAAATATTATACACGATGAAGAAAAGAAACAGCTAAAACTCCTTTTGATGAACTGACCATTCACAACAGGCTGATCCGTTAACACCGATAGCCATCGTCGAAACATTTGACCCCGTCGAAACTTTTGCCACCCGTCAAAACTTTCGCAATTTTGCCTTTAATAAAAAAATTTGGCAAAACGTTTCGATGGGTTTCGATTTCGATGCCTGTCGAAACTTCCGGGTTTTTCCCGGCAACCTTAACAGTACTTAAATTATTTTTTATATTAATTGACACGGGGTGTTTGAACACTATGTGTAACATAAGGGTGTAAAAAATTAAAGATTTTTAGTATTAAAACATTTCTCTGTTCCCAGAATAATTTAGTAAAACCGACATAGCAGGGTGTGTTGCCGTATGATAAATAGAAAATATCACGCCCACATAATAAGTTTATATATAACACATGACCCGTGTTTATACCCCGTGTTAACTATGAAATGTCTAAAAGAAAATATTATTACGTTTTATGAATCTATAAAATAAAAGTAATTTTAATTTCCACGATCAAAGAAAGTGTATTCAATTTTTTAATTGTATAATATTACAAAACTAGAATTTTACAAGTAAAATAATAAGTCAAGTATTTTTTTTGAGGTAGTCGGTAATTTGTGCAGTTTATAATTATAATTCTATGCCAGAGATGTCACGTTTTTGCTTGAAGTTTCTGATTTATTAGAGCGAGTGAGAGAGATTACCATAATAATTAGAGACCACCGAGTTAGAAGCTTGGTAAACACATTATAAATTAAGCGTATAAGTGAATTTAATAAAAATTATAAAGGTTTGTTTGTGAAGATTGAGATATTTGATTTTCAATAAGTTTTTCAATCGAGTTTTATTTCTTACACGGAAAATTTTTAAGAATTTAAATTTTTTAAAAAAACCTTCAAAGGTTGATGATTTACATGGTCATTCGCAGGTTAAAAGCCAATACCCCAGAATAAGATTTATCACTTTTATTTATATACAGTATGTCGCATCTATGAGAACGAAAATATATCATTTGGGTAATTGTTGTTTCAAACTTTCAAATCAAGATACAACGAGAAATAAATCTGATACTTCCTTTATTACATAAATAATAAAGATATAATCCTCAGGATGATATGCTCAATCTAGAGGACGAGTATTTAAGAATTTCTCAAGAAATTATCTGGTTCACCACCACCTAATTTTGGGTGTGCTGTCGACAGATTAACAAAACTATATTTAGCCTATAGTAAAATTTACTATAAAAGATTTTTTTTGTAATTCTGATATGATTGCTAAAGTTTAAATTTGCCTTATAATAATAAGCTTCTTACTAAATCGATACATTTGTATACTTTAATAACTTTAGACTCTTCCTAATATCTTCACTCCAAATTTTACAAAAACTTTCTAAATTATTGTCTCTTCGTGTAACAGCTCGTTTTTTTCAAAATATATCATTAATGCTTCAAGAAATAATAATTAAATCTTTTTGGGCACAGCTCTCTAAATAAAAATTTTTTCTTCGAGAAATCGAAGTGTCACATAGTTTTTAGGTTATTATGTTATTTATTTACATTTTTAATTTAACTGAACGATCTTAATTAAAAAAAAATTCGGTCGGTATTTGCTTTATCAAGACTTGTGTAATTGCAATTATCGACTCAATTAGGGTATAAATTTGACAGTGATTCTGAGGTTCTAGGGTCTTGGAGCTTAATGTTTCAGGTATCAATTTAGGTGACAGGCCTTAGATCAGTATTAGTGAGCGGGTTCTGGTTAAATCTTGAGTCTAGTCATAACTTTAATGATCCTATAGTAATAATCTATAACAAAATTTAACTTTGGACAATCGGTATCAATGCATAAACTTATTAACCAAATGGGGATTCTAACCTCCGAAAATAATTTATCATCTATCCAATTTTAGATATTTGTTAAAATGATTGTCATAATGTAACATCTATCTATTCTATTATAATGTATCGCCTCGTCATAACATCTTTTCATCCTTATAAATAATGAAAAAAAAATAAAAAAGTTTTTTTTTTTTAACAAATAAGATATTCTTTTTTTCTTATTTTTATATTTTAAAAACTTTTCTCCTTTATTGAATCAAAAAATTCTCACTTTTAGGCAACGATTACAATTTGATTGTCGTGTCGTAATAGAAATTTTCTCAACTTTAGATATATTATATAAAATTTTTTTGAATAATAAATTCATTAAGTTTACAAACTCATTAATATTTTAAAATTTGGATCTAAATCAACTAAAATGCAAAGTAATATCGAACCTAACTTTTCGATTACTTCACGCAACCCTCATGTCGATAACGATCCTATCGCTCCAAGTGTCAATGCTATACAAAATACAACTCATAATGAGGTTCTTTCTCTCGTAACATCTGAACCTCATATTGTTGAGTATCAACAAAATATTAATATGCAACCGATGGCTTCAAATCATACTGTTCAAAATTTTCAGGTATCTCGTTATTCAACCAATTATATTCAAGAGAACGTTAATATTAGACATTCATTCTTTTATAGACCTTGCAATGATGATCATATTTATCGTATCATCTGTGAAGAGACAACCTTTGAAGAAACTATTTCTCAATTAAGAAATAATTATTTGTATTCATCTAATTCAAACAATTCATATCTATTCTACTTTCAACAACCTAATGACAAAAGAATCTATCAAGTGGTATGTGAAATGATCTATATTTATAGCAATGAAATAAAACCAAACGAACAGCAAACTGTGGAATTTTCTAATAGACATAAAGAAAACCTTGAATTTTACTTGAAACAATTTCTGGTTACTTATTTGGCACCAATGGATATTTACGGGCAAATAAACATGAATACTGGACAAGAAAGGGATGTTAATAATGTTGTTAGTAATTCTAATACAAATTTAGTTGATATTTCGCAGATAGTTTCATCTCAAAATGTTAGTGGAAATTATATACGATATAATAACTCGGAATAAATTTGAGTCGTTAAGATATTTTCTTATTATATATTTATTTGGTATAGTGTTAAAGAGATTTGTAATTTTTTTTTATTTCTGAAATATATTTTTATCTACTATTTATTAAATAAATTCAAATATTGTTATTGCGATTGTATCTTACCGCGTTTTTTTTATGATTATCTTATTCTTTAACGTTAATTAAAGCGATTTTAGTTTGATAACAGCTAACAATACATTCATTATTAATACAATATGTGAAAAGATTTATTCTGCATCTCTGTAATATATATCAATCGGGTTGAGATGTTTTTTTATTTTTCAGAATGAAATATTCTAGAGGTTTTTTTTTTTTTAGAAAAATTATTTCTAATCATGAATAACCTACAGTATATTGGTCGACAATTGAGTATCTACCCAACGCCATTGTCATGAATCAACTAATTTACCCACCATTTCCTAATATGTATCGATTATTAACTTCATCTTTCTTAAGAATAGATAGAAACTGATGAGAAAGAAATAAGTATAGGAATTAGAGAAAAGAGCAGGACACAAGGCAGATTTTTTTCCAATCATTGGACTCAAATTTACTTACAGAAGCAATCCTCAAATTGATATATGCACGACGGAGCCACATTTATGACAGCATTTAGATTCGACGGAACACCATTGAGGGTTCTTAATAGCGTCATTCATATCCGTTAACTGATTCAAATATAGGATAGCGAACGGTCTAGGTTTGTAATTGTTGGATCGCACAATACAATAATTATAGCGCTTCCGATCGTGCGCTATCAACCTAGATATCACTTTTGCTGATGCGTCAGAACAATAACAAACCACCTACTAAACCTATCGACAAAGGATTATATGTCACAAACCATGCGTGACGAATAAGCCTCACCAACGAAAATAATTCCAAGTCCCTCAAATATTTAATAAAAATTGAAACATAACCAGTGTCACACCGGTGACAACCCTAATCTCAATTATACCAGCAAATCGTAGCGTGGGGGGTAAATAGTTTAAAGAAAATATTCTATTGTAATAGTATTTTTCTTGATAAAATGTAAAAAAGTCAACTATTCTTGTTCCATTTTCTGTTCAATATAAATATTTTAATACAATAAATTATTAATAGAAGGAGAAACATTTCACAAGATACTTTGATATTAAATTGCTGTTGATAAAAGAAAACTTATTCATTTTATTTTAACTTGGTGCAGACTGCATTGAACTTGCGAGAAAAAGAAGTCACATGACTCAAGCACTTTCTGTTACTCGTTCAATATTCGATTGAGATGGATGGTAACGTTGTTGTTATCTTAAGAAATTACGTAATATGAGATATAATTGAAGGTCTGAGTTAGAAATTTGAATTTGATAAATTTGATAATTTGTTAGATTTATTAGACCTAGTTAAAATATTGGTGTTTTTGTATATAGAAGAAATAATTATTTAATTAGAATATTTGTTGAACTTTTTATTTTTATATTAATAAAAAAAAAATCCCCTTTTTATGATCAAAAATTTCCGACAATCCACTTTCGTTGATCATAAAAAAAAAAGTTTGCGGTGTTTTTTTTTACGTTTTATTAAATTGTTAGGGCTGGGGGAAATAATATAGTTACAAAATTGTTCTTATCATTTTTAGTTAGACTTTGTAGTTCGGTCAATTTGTTCTCCGGCCATAAATGTCCTCCAGCGTTAAGGCAACGCTTGATAATTGATTTTATTAAATAAATTTAAATATCATACTTATCTATATTAAAACCTTCTGCTTGCCTTTTTCTTTATTTATAAATATAAAAGAACAAAGCGCAACAATACATATTATTTTTTTATTCGGAAAACGATAAAAAGCAGTATTTTTCAAAATATGTATTTTATTAATTATTTAGAAAAAGAAAGAATTTTTTTTTTTTTTTTTAATATTAAATATATAATATATAAGCGTCGACTAATTCCCAAAATAATTTTTGTCAGTAATTTAGCTGCTGAATAAGATTAATTAGTAACTCAAATAATTTGTAAAAAAAATTCACTTTTCGTAAAACTTAGGTAACAAATTTTAGGTTCCCGCCATTGTTATATATAAAAAGGTTTTATTTGGTTTAATTAATTAAGTATCAAGACGAAAATAATTTTTATGTTTGATTTTTCTAAATGTTCTTATGAGTATTTTATACATTTACCATTTTTTCACGTTAATGAATTTCACAACTTATGGCTTTGAGTTTCAAAAAATTAAGACCTTTTTTTTTATTTGCAATCAGTAAACATTTAATATAAAGAAATCAATGGCTTTATTTCTTCAATAACAGAAAGTTTTTATATTGAATCTAGGACAACTATTATCATGTCAAAATTTTTAATGTGGAAAAATCAAAATAGCTGTATTGTTGAAAAAAGTTCGTATAAATGAAGGGGAATCTTAACCTGCACCAGGGGTCTAGGATTTTAACCTGGAACCTCCAAATTTGATTGGTTCATCATGATCCCAGCCACATTAATTAATTATTTGTTTACTGTTTACCATTACGATAATCTTTTTCATGTTTTAAAAAATTTTTTTTAAGGTTTTGTTAATTAATAAAGCTAAAATATTTTTCAACAGCAGTTCATAACTTCAAGTGTAGAAGAATATTATCATGAAGTTGTGGAC